TTTCTACTGTAAAAATTCAAGGAATCCTGAGCCCTGAGGGGAGTTTAGGAGACATCCAGGAAAGCGGGGGAGAGCAGGAGAGGGACGTAGGATGTAGTGGGGACAAAAAGTATGTGCTGTAAAGACAGACTAATCCAATGACTTGGAGATGAGAGTATTGGACTGCCTCACAAAGTAGCCCCACAGATTTACTCTCTACCCGTCATAAACTGGTGCACAGTTACTCACTCTCCATCAGAGTGCACAGCTGTATGACACTGTTAGCCACAGCCTAATACAAAAGTTAACAACATTTGACCCAAGAGATTCCTTCCCTGTTCATATTCTGGTTATCGGCGAATGTGGGATATTTGATCAGCTTGTAAAATCAGTCACAAGATTTGCCTTGTTCAGCTCTGAATTTATGTTAATACCTGGTTTCAAGTGAGCTGGGGTTCCCCACTCGAGTGCACTCAGCGCTCAGTCAGCGATGAATTGGGACAAAACGGGCAGCTGTCAGCTTTGCTCATCACAGTCCCATGAAATCAGACTTCCCACCTTCCCTGAACCGTCCTCCTTCCCCACCTGAGGAGAGTGGCTCATGGACAAGTCCCTAAGGTCACACCTCTCATACTGAAAATCTTGCTTCATGTGATTTGTTCTAATCTTGCCTTGCTTCTGATGATTGCAAACTCTCTGCTGCTAAAGCTCTGCTCCCTGGGGCAAGCTTCAAGCATGAGCTTATATTAAATGCCATTTCCAGATAATAACCTTGGCCGGTTGGTTCTGGCAGCTTCTACTATTTTCTCTGTGGCCTTAAAAAGAAAATGTAAAGAAGTGCCTAGTTTGGGGAGGAGATCAGTTCTCTACTACACACATTTTATGCCAGTTTATTTAGGTAGCCAGATTTTTCGGTGGCTGTGACTGCGTAGCGCTAGCTGCTGTGCCCAAAGGTGAGAACTGAAGGAACAGGAATGCTGTGATCGGCACCCAGAAGCCTTCGTGTCTCGTCAGCCATCTGAGCTGGTTTCTGAAGGAAAACGCTAGGGACAGACATATTTTGTTCCTAGCTGTTGTTTAGATGTTCCAAACATCTTTTAATTACTTCCACTCACAATTCCCATTTCAGTGACATCGGGCTGACATCAGACATTTTAGAGAAAAAAGGGAACATGGAGCAAGGCTGATGAGAGGAAATATCAAAGTGAACCTCGGTAGGGCTAAGCTTCAGTGTCCTTCTCAGACTGACTTTGAAAGTCAAAAGCTGCCTTCTGGAAATTTCCTGTGTAGTTTTAAAAAATGCAGGTTGCTGTGGCTGCCCCAGAAGCTGTTTTGCAGTGTAAACTGAAAGCAGCTTCTTTGTTCATCCCATCCTTTGCTGATGATCAAGTGACCCTTGCTGCGTACACTTTGCAAATGACTTTGGAAGCAAAAGATGAATTTAATCTCTGAATGCATACAGCATAAGGCAGATTTTTCACCCTTCTTCAAACTGTGCTGGCAATTTGGTGGAAAAACTTACAAAAAACCACAGACTACCTACCACTGACTGCACCTAAGAAATCTCCTGTTGTGGTTGGAAACATTTTACCCTTGTGCATAAACCTATTAGCAACAAAAATATTATATATTCAGCCCAACTTGATATATTACTTCAAACTAAAGTAGATTGTGCTATTGCTTTGAACAAATACTTCATCATAAAATGAACAATTAAGAGAATTTATGAGAGGACAGCGATAACTTGAGTGTACCCTGTTGCAGACCAATGGGGAAATGTGCACATACAGATCTTTTTTAAAATTTTAAAGGAAAATATTTTAAGTTCTTATAACAGAAACTTTCAACAATCAATCTGGTTTGTGTTCTCAGTATTCTTTTGGGTACCATGCTGGTTTTTAGAAGTTCAGGGAGTATTCAGAAATACTTCACATTTTTTTCCTAGCCTTAAATGGATGAATTAGTGTAAAGAGATTTCCAGTTGGTTTGAATGTGGCAGGAGGCTCATATATCACAATCTTTAAAAAAGTCTTCTCTGCTTTTTATAACATTTTCCCACAGTAAAGCAAATGTTTAGGAATAACACCAATTAAGAGACACATTTTTGGTTTACTAGAGCTGAGCGGCAGCCCATATTGTCAGCTATCCAGTCCCCAACTTTCCAGCACTGAGTGCCTCAGGAAAGGCAAAAGCGGCGTTTTGAAGACCCACAGTCTTCCCGGCAACGTGCAGTGAGCATCGGCAAACCAGGAGTCGTCTGAGCTCCCTGAAGATTTTGGCTTAGCTACTGGTGTGTGGTGTAAATGAAATGTATATTTTAATGAGCTAAATTGCCTGTCCTAATAGATTCTATTTGTAGAAGAGATTGCAAAATTGAAAGGAAAAGAAATCAATTTCAAACTTGCTTTAATTTCAAAGAGATCAGGCAGGACGTAGATACAAGATAGAAGGTATTGCCAGTGTCAAAAATTCTTTGCAGATTGTTTTTTTAACTCCATACCTACAGCGTGTGCCAGCTGTTGGCATCTGCACTGCTGGTATGAGCTGAGATGGTTTCCTTTCACCTAGGCACCTGGGAAGTCCTGGCCAAGGAGGTATCGCTGGGCTGGGCAGCTGCTCTGCCCTCACTCAGCACCTCAGGTGCTCAATGTCTTTCACAGTTGTTAAATCCTCTGTCTGCATTGCAGATTAAATTGTTTGGATTTGAATCAGAGTCAGCTTCTTTGGCACAACTCTGCCTAATTTTGACCACAGAGATCTCAGACAAGTTTTAACCTACAACCTGCAGAATAGATCTGTGCCTCTTATGCCTCGGCAGGTCAAAGTTTCATTGAATTCGTTGCTGGAGATGAACTTTGAGGAAAAGGTGGCTCAGGAGTAAATACCTCAGTAACAGCAGTGCTATCCTCCAACTTCCTGGACCTCTTTTGGTTTGGCTTCCAGCCTAATTAAGGCACACAGAGACTGTGCTAACCCGTTGTCTTTTCTAATGATTGACAAAGGTCTGGCATCCATAATGCTGCTTCCAAATCCATCATCAGCCTTTGCCTACATGGACAGCCAGCGATGTGCCTGCCTGCCTTGCTCTGCCGCAGGATGTGGGCATCGCCTTCTCTGTGCCTGGCACTGATGGGAAAGTGAATTTAGACCAAATTCCAAACTTATTAGAACTAAAATTACTAGGAAAGTAACCTGATAAGTAAGGACCCAAGTCAGCCTTGGAATATGGTAACATCAATAGCCAGGGTTTTCACCTACCTCCTCAGTGACAGTTTCTCCCTTCTGCCAAATACTTGTGATTCTCTCTCTCTGACCCATGCAAGTCTGTGGTGATTTATGACTTTGTGAAAATCACACTGGATTTCTGGTAATACGCCTTCCACGGGCAACTTTTCCAGACTATTCAGATGTTCAAACTAACACAGCACACAGCTGCTCGCGCACGTGTTGGCCAGATGGAGCACGTTACGGGAATCTTCCAAGGGCTGCCCAAGCTGCCTACGCTGAATCAGGTGCCACGCATTGTGTGGGTCCCAGCGTCCGGCATCGTGGGGTTTCACTTGGGCACTGCTACCGTGGATCGCTAGGGTTCTGTGGTGGAGAGGCTCCTTTTAACCTGTCAAGTTTGCTGCTTCAGGGTTTTTTGGGGGTGAAAAGCTAGACAAGCTCTTTGGAGCACAATCTCAGGCTTAGCTATTTATTCTGTAGGTAACTGCGGGAAAGGTACTGTAGGGAATATGTGAAATTCACTGGGGCCGGTGCTTGCTGTTCAATTTCTTTCTGCAGAAGGAATATATTAAATCTTTGAATGAATCCAAGAAAACCAAGGACAGTGATTCTTCACAGTGTTTCCAGAAGCTATCCTCTTGATACTAAGCTATGAAAAGATTATAATATGCTAAAGAAGCAACAGTCTTGTGCTGTGAAATACATTCACTGTCCAAAAAAAATCATCATTACTGTCAGAAGGAATTCCCCAGTAAATAACAGACCATCTCCCTTACACAATTTGCAGTGTCATGAATGAATAGCATGGTAATCCAGTAAAATCCTTATGCTTAATGAGATAATGAAAAGTCATATGGCAGATGGAAAAGCTCTTCGAAATCTCATTAACCTGCCTCTTGGCTTTTCTGATATTGGCAAAAATCAGGAGTAACTCCAGGGGGAGAGTGCGTTTGCAGCAGGGTAAAAATGAGTGCTGGAGGATGAGTAACCGAACCTAACATCTGCACTAAGAAGGGGAACACAGTGGAGAAACCCCACATGAATAAGAACTGAAATACCAAAAAGAAGGTAGGCGTTTGCCTGTACCCACACAGCTCTGACATGAGCGCTGATCCCTCCTGAAGCAAGCAAGATACCGTCATGCCCTCCCCGCGCTCCCGGACACACCACAGCTCCTGCTTTTGAAGCCTTTTCTGATCAAATGTTACTGATCAAATGCAAGTTGCACCACTCCCACGTCAGGGGGAGAGAGGCACAAAGACGCGAGCGCCTGCAAGTTGCTATTTTTAACTGTGTACCGAAACCTCAAGGGGATCAGGAAAATAAAAATAATGGCCTTTAAGTGCAACGCGCTTCAAGGAGATTTTCTTTTCCTGTAGGTACGTCTTTCTTAATTTCCAAATCTCTTTTAATGAAGTCCTTGACCTCTTTGAGGCATAAAACTCACCGTCGATGAGTTTGGAAGTCAGAAAGGCGGCACCTGCCCACCGGTTGCACCCCACGGAGCCGCTTGGACCGGCGAGGGGGGCGCGGAGAGCCGCGGGGGCTCCAAAATCCCCTCTGGCCCCAAAAGCCCCCTCAGGGCTCCCGGGGGAGCACCGAGGAGCAGGAACCCGCGCGTCCCCTAGCGCCACCTAGCGTCCCGCTCAAAGCGCCACCCAGCGCCCGCGGCGCTCCCTCGCCTGAGGGGACCGCCGGCACCGCCGGCCCTCAGACCCCCTCCGCCGCCCGCCTGTCTCCGCCGCTCCGTTGCTCGCCCGAAGGAGAAACCCACGTGTGAACGCGGGTCTTACCGTGCATCAGGAGGAGCCCCTGAAGGGCATAGACTGCCAGGGCGACGCTCGGCCTGGGGACCATCGCCGGTGCTGGTGACTGTTAAATCCCTTGCGAGGCGCGGGGAGGAAAAGTCCGCAAACGGGGACAAGTTTTCTTGCCAGCGACAAGTTTCTGAAAGGCTGCGGGAAGGGAGGGGGAGAACAAGGCGTGCAGAAGTTCCCACTTGTTGATTCCAGTTAAATTGTTCTTTCCATTCACTGCTTCATCCTTGGACTGCAGATTTTGTTTTCCTTCCTTTCTTCTCGACGCGCACGGTTTTGGGCTTTTTTTTCTTTCTTTTTCTTTTTTTTTTTCACAATAACTTTATTCCTCTTTTCCCCCTGCTTTTCTAATTCATGGGGTGCCTGTAGGCGTGAGTGTTATTCTGTCTGAGAAGGCTCCCAGCCCGCCCGGGTGGTGCAAAGTATCTCAAGGGGTTAAAAAGCAGAGCAACACACCAGAAAAGTTTGGCAAAAAAGTTTTCCTCCAGTCAGTGAGTCGCTGCTCCGAGCAGTCCTTTGCCTGGAGTTTGGGATAAGGTGGCTGAACTGAAAAGCCTCCTCTTAGATGTATTTATCCAGGGAGGAGCAGGTGCTGCGGAGATCGAGAGGAAGGACAAATCTCCCAACTTCAGCGAGTTTTCCAAGGCAGGACGAGAGGGAGCTTCCCCGTCCCCAGCCCGGCTACCTGCCGGGGGGCACCCCGCAGCGCCCAGGGCCGGCAGCCGGCAGGCAGCGGGGCTCGGGCATGGCAAGATCCTTCCTTAGGTGTTTCTCTCTCCCTTTGCCCCTACCCTTCTGGGTTTGCTTTGCTCTCGCTGGGAAGTTTGATGCGAGTCCGAGATTCTTTATAGGGACAGGAAAGAAAAAAAAAAGGAGGAAGGAGAGACGTCACCAGCCGAGGCAAGAGGACTTCACTCGCTCTCTCTCCCTGTCATTTCACAGAGCTCCTGGATTTCCTGTTGCTGCTGCCTGAGATGGGGCAAAGAAATGAGCGGAGTTGTCCCTCGCTGCCTCCCATCATCGCCCGTTCCTGCAGAGCCAAAGCTACGTGAGCATCAGGTGGCAGCGTCGTCCCCCAGCCCTGCCCCGCTTCCCCCGCAGGCACAAAGGTGGCCAGGATGGCCGCATCACCCTCCTGGCTCCAGGGCTCTCAGCGCTCCAGGGCACGGGGAGCGCAGAGGACATCACCTGGGCAGCAGGCTCTCTTGCAGGGTTGCTGTCTTTGCCCCCTTCTTCTGGTTATTTAGCAGTTTGGGGGTTTATGCCTCAGTGTATCCTGCTCCGTCCTCCCTGCCTTGCTGCCTCTCTTCTCGCAGCAGCCACCACTGTGCATCCCTTGCTCTCTGGGGCACAAAGAAAGTTTGTTGTTTGAATAGAATATTTCAGGGAACCCTAATGGTGGTGTTATTTGTATAGTGCAGCTGCCTCCCTGATCTCTCATGGGGGTCTCATAGCAACTGTTCCTGTGTCACCTGAGCATTATCTCCAGGTACTTGGGTGTAGACAGATCCACCCACACATGGAGGCTTCCAGCCTGTCTGCCTGCCTTTGCTCTTGCCATGCCAGAGCACTCCTGCGGTGGTGGGGGCCAGTGTGGTTTTGGCAGGGGCCATGCAGATGCTTTCCCTTTTGCCTCCACCCTAGGAGAGCAGTCTTTTCCTGGTTCAGGGCCGCTCCTTCAGCCACAGGTGCCTCCTGGGCCAGTGCAGCCTCAGCTGCAAGGGTCAGAAACTGCGCCAGTCATCCTGGGAGATGTCCCAGTGCACATAAGGGACACATCTGGAAATTCAGCCGCACTCAGGTGATGGGGAAGGAGCTGTTCTGTGCCATTGTGATGCACATACCAGTTATATGGCTTTAATGTACACAAATCACTGCACTACACTGATAGTGAAGGAGTAGTGGAAGCCCCACAGCTGCCCACACAGACTCATTCCCAGTAGTGCCACAAATGAGACACTGGGGTTAAGTGACCTGTTGCAGCCTTACAGTACAGCACTGTCGGTCCCCACGGCTGAATGACGCAGTTTGTTTGTGGTTTTTTTGTTACTCTGGCTCAGCTCATCTTCAAAAGAAGATGAGAAAGCTAGCAGGTGCATTAGACCTCACACTGTACGTATATCAAGGGTTTTATTGAAACGGATTCAGGGTATTATGAAGTTTTTCATGCCTCTTTTTAGTATACTTCTAAATTCTTAATGCACGTAACAAGTATGTATGCTACATTAAGATGCTCTAGAGCAAAGTGAGACATAGGTACGGTTCTGTGAGTTACATATGTTATCCAGCAAGGAAAATGGGCACTCCAAAATGTGAGAATTGGTAGTTGCTGTAGAAATGTCCCAAATTCAAGCAATAAATTCAGCACAGAGTAGTCTCAGATATTCCTGTTTTATGAACAAGAAGTGTAATTTCTCATGCACAGTGTTGAATCAGGAACACTGTTCTCAACATCACATGATGTCACCAGCTAATGCCAATTTTCATATAAATGCCCAGATCATTCTTAAGGTGACAAATGCATTTTCTATGCCTAAAATTAATTGTTAAAACCTACAGCTTCCCCCAGATCTGTGTTGCAGTAACTGACTTCTAAGTAGTTACAGATAATAGTAAAGACCAGTCTTATAGAAAGCTTAACTGAAGAATGAAAATTCTAGCTTCATTGTAGAACTGTAGTTTATTTTTTATTTACAGGGAGGTGTTTAAGAATTCGTTGGAGGTTACTGACCAGCTGCTAGCAAATCCTGCTGTATTTGTGTAATGCCCCAGATAATCTTTTTATCTGCTGATAAACTTAATCGATCTTTTAGTTGAGATTAAATGCCTATAGTGTGTAGCTTCACAAGGAATTCAGTGTGAGAACTTGGCCAAGTGGTCCTGGGAACCATTTTTAATTCTTTATTTTCTCCCTCAAAATATGCAAAATCAAAAATACAGTTGAAAGAATGACACGTTTTGTTCCTGAGCATCTTCATATGCCTATAGCGACCTGTTAGAGCTTTTCCCAAGCATTGCAGAGTTCCCAAACATGACAGCATGTTCTGTTCATACAGATGGGAAAAGCATTTTGCAAACTGGACCAGAACCTCTTCATAACAGTACAACTTGTTTTGCTGTGACAATTATTCTTTCTGAGGAACTCAAAGCTCCTTACTAATATCAACATATATCTTAGCCTCACAATACTTGTGGGAATTGAAGTAGGGCTAGAAAAGATCATTTATTTCACTTCCTCATGAAGTGCTTTTAGCTTTGCAAAGGCACCTGGTGGTTTTATCAGTATGGCCGTAACTGAATCAAATAATAATAACAAGGAAGTGAAGATCGCTGTGTCTGGTGGCAATACGAGACAGCTGGGGTGGAAAGCAACCTGTAAGAACTGGGGCAGTGTATCAGGGCTATGGCCTTGTGCACCGTGAAGCACTGTCTGTTTTGTAGGATCAAGACTGTGTGCTCTATGAGACCTGCACTAACTAGAGACTGACCGTGTAACTTGCCTGGCCATCCCTTGGAGTATCTTCCATCCTCTGTGGCAGTGGCCGGACACAGAGGTTTACATGAATTATTCTCTTTTATCAACTTGGCAGGGTATGGTACCAGGGCTGGGAACTCCTTTGTTTTGTCTTGCTTGTCTGTTGGTGCTCATTGTAAGTAAAAAGGTATCTAGGAAGCAGTGGGAAGAGACAAGTTTAGCCTGTAAGCCTAAATTTTAGATGCCTAATTCTGCCCTGTGTCTTCAAGTAGAGGAACTTTGTCACAAAAACAGCCTTTCCTATCAGCCCGAGGAAGACTGTCCTGGCCAGAGGCATGTCCTGTAAAATGGAGATATTCTCCAAAGCAGCTCTTGCCCTTTCAGTTGGAGAGAGCTGATACTCACAGCTGTGTGCTGTGGGAAGGATAAGGGTAAAGACTAGCTTTAAGGACAGTAGTTGGCAGGCCCATGGATTTTCATTGCAGAGTGCTGTATCAAGCAGTTCTATATAATTTTCCTGAGAGGACCTAGAGTGCTTTCTGGATGGACAACTTTCCATGTCCTGTATGTTCAAGCCCCCAGAAGAGGTGGTGGAAAAAGGCAGGACGTTGCAAAGGTACTTTGCATTTTACTGCATTGTTCTGGGATAAATCAGTGCATGTCCCATGAATTCAGTTATTTATTTGTTGTGTAGGGTGCTTTGGAGGCATATGCTGACCTGCAAGGCAGACAAGGTGCTGGCTACATATGGGTCCCTAAACCAGTGAAGTAAAGCCATCACGTCCTCGAGTACCTGGTCCATCCCCAGTCCCACATCCCCTCACAGAGATGGCAGCATTGCCAACGGTGGCTGCCTTAATCCCAAGGAGAGCTGCAAAGTCATCGCTGGGTGTGCCTCTGCCACAATCTGGTCAGGCTGTCTTTTGTGCACACACATCGCGTAGTCCCTTGGGGATCGAATGACAAGTTAACATTGGCAGTCTGTGAGCAAACAGGGTGGGGAACTTTTTGATGAAAATATTTTTCACTGGAAAAATGGCGTGTTATCAAAACAGAAATCTTCTGTGGGAAGTCTCAGCAAGGTCTGGTTTCAAGGCGTTAGCAGAAAACTACTCTCACGTCTTGCAGGAGTCCTCTGCTCAGCAAGTCCATTGCCTGTCCTTTGGCTGTTTCATTCACCTTCTTGCAGACAGGTTTGCTTACTTATTCCTTTATTTTGAAACAAACAAACAACGAAAAAAGGCCTCAAGAAAACCCCATTTGGCTCACACACAGAATGGGAACAAAATGTTTCTCTAGCTGGGAAAAACATTTACTGCACAGCTTTGTTCAAATACGCAGTAGTGCACAGATGATTAGAAGCCTAATGGCAAGAGATGTGGGGCCTGCAGAGCCATGGGCACATTTCTGGTGGCTTGCTGCTCCTCTGTGGGATGGCAGCTTCAGAGGGAAGGACAGGAAGCACACACAGTCATTAACAGAGTCTGTGCAGCTTTCTTTTTTATGCAAGAAAGGAAAACAAGGCAAAGAAGGGTTTAATGAATCATCCGAAGCCACAAAGCAAA